ATATACTTAATAACATTATTGAAGAAGCTTCCTGTAACCTCAAAAACTTTGGCTCTTATCTCAGGACATGAGCAAAGCTTATAATTCTATAGATCTTACACTCTTTACCAAATCTTAATTACACCTACATATGCCATCTAATCTTATTAATATTCTTACTAATATGCTTACTAATTAACAAAACCAAGTTATTACAAATTTAGGTCTTACCAACTCTTACAATGTTAAAAATAGCATTGATCAAAGAAAAACTATAACTCTATTGTTCTGAAGAATTTATTATGACCCTCCTATAAATAAAATAGCTTTAGACTTTTCAGGATACACTTTGGCCACAAAGTGAAATACTAGTTTGCTCCAACCAAAACCTCAATAACTTCAAACCTCAGTATCTATATTAGTATATATGGATAACACACTTTGGATAGCAAAATCTAAAGAAGAATTACAATCAATCATTGCAACAGTTACCTTCTTTTATTATATAACAGACATTCAAATTAACCTAACTAAATTAATTCTTACATCAAACACATCATCTACAACTCCTATCCACTTCTTTAGCTTATCACTTATACCAATTTTTGCCAACCAACTATTCAAATTTTTAGGATATTAGTTCATTCTTAATAATTCATATACAAAACAAAGCCAACTAATTTATGATAAAGCAATCCAGCTCATCAATGTCACTAGTACAAAATATTACAGACAAACAAGCTATCTATATTACTAATACTGTAATTATTCTTACTATTAAATACAGATTATATAACATTATTCTTAAATACTCCACTTGTGATAGCATTTTATCCAAATACCTTACTATGATCAAACATAAAGCTAAACTTTCTCATACAAGTCCTAACAGTATTATGCTTAACCCCTATATATATAATATATATAATATCTGGAATATTCAACTATAACATTATATATTCTGCTTTTAACAAAGAATTAATGACTCTGAGATTCTTGGTATTTCTACCAAAATTCATTTACAGCAACTTCAAAACAACCTTTGGTCTGCTATTAACATTCTTTAGCACAGTCAATCACTTATAGATGGACCTAAGAAATTTACACTTAACTTCAAAATCATACAACTTCCACAACTTCTTGGCATATCAATTTCAGCCAACTTTAATGTTCTGTGGCCTAATACTTCTCATGATAGATATCAACTACTAGAACTGATACTTAGTCAATATTCCAAATACTATACTTTTAGAAAACAATTTTGAAAAAACAATATACTTTACTTAGAGCAATTAAGTATTACAAACAATAGTATATTACTTAAATAACACCATCTTTCATCAAGACTTCATAATCTAACAAAAGGAAGGCAACCTTTTTGGTTTACTTATCTGGAAGATACAATCTTATCTAACAGACTATATCATCTAATCCTTTCCTATTTTCAACCTTCAGGAATTAATGCTTTTGTATATAATACTTTACCAATCAAGAAAAAACTTAAACCTTGGCTACTTACCTACAATAATGATAATGAAAAGATCATTATTGGCAAAATTTGCAAATATTTTTCTAACACAAACCAGTTCTCTATATTACATTGCAATATGAATATTAATTTAAAACATAATCACTATTATTGTCGCGCGGGTTAATAAATGGGGATGTTCCACTTAACAATCCAGCTCAATCAGTAGCACTGCAACTACAACGATGTCAACGATACACACACACAATCACGAAACAGGTGGCCAGTACTTTATTGTAAGATTCGTATGTATCTTTATTACAAGAGAGAGAGAGAACTGTCCTTTTGGCTTATTAAGCCCCTACTTTATTTATACAGAATTTTGACTTTTGTTAAACTACAAATTAATGACTACTTTGTCAATGCAAGATTGCGCACAAGCTATAATAAACTTTACATTAATGACGCCTACATTATACAAAATAGGATCATACTATAATAAACTACTTATGTACTACCATTCTGATTTACCCGATTTACACTTATTACCCTGCCCATCATATCGAATTACCTGATCACGTGGTCACGTGATATCGTGAACACAGTTCACGATCAAAGTCCAAGCCTATACTGTCCAACATTCCATGAACATAGTATACAGGGTACTGGTCCACAGCATGACAGAAGCTAGATCCCCCAAGATCTTTGTCCTCGAAGTCTATACACCCTTCACTATAGCTTTTGTCCATCCATGCCTCTCTTTGCTTTAACCTTTTAACCCGATTCCTCGTAAAAGGATCCTTCAGCTCACTACCATCTATTTCATTCAGATACAGGTGGCCATTTTGGCCTACTCTTCTTACCATATACGGATCAACCCATCTATAATCTAATTTACGGAGAGTGTTGTCTAACGTTGAATCGTATACAAGTACTAGATCTCCAATTTCAATCTTTTTCTTATTCTCATTTGCATGTCGATCGTAAAATTTCTTCCATCGTTCATGAAGCTTATTACGGTTTGCTTTTGCTTCTTTTAGTTCAGTAACTAACCCTTTTATTTGTAACGTTCTAAAAGCCAGCAGTTCATCGGTGTTCCAATCTTGTTTGGCCATGAAAACTTGGTAACTTTCAAGTGTTAATTCAACCAGCATTATCGCATCTCAGCTATATATTAATCTAAAAGGTGAGTATCCCAATTCGCTTACTGTAACATTAAGAGCCCAAATTGCAGCACGTAGATGCTCATGCCATCGGTTTTGGGCTTCCACACTAACCTTCCTAATAATTCTGGTAAGTTTTTGCATGGTGCGTTCGGCTCTGCCGTTTGCTTCAGGGTAGTAACTAGCAGTAAACTGTTGTTTCACCTGTAATCAAGCTGTTAGTTCTTCCATTATATTGTTTTTAAACTCAGTACCTCTATCTGAAGTTAATTTGGCGAAACAGCCATGTCTGGTAATTATCTCTTCCCATAAAAATGTAGCAATTGACTTGGCATTTTTACTTCTCAGAGCACATGCTTCTATATACCCAGTTAAATCTTCAATGGCGACCACTATGTGCTCATGACCTGCGGAAGTTCTTGGCAAGGGACCAATGCAATCAACATAAAGTTTGTGAAATATCCAACTAGTGGCAATCACATAGATGGGTTCCTTAAGTTGTTTACTAGCACACATTTGACATACTAAACAAGATGATACATAGTTCTTCACATCGCTGTATATGTTACCATTGCCCCACATGTAATTTAGCAAGATTTTTCTAACCGTTCCTTTTATTCCACAGTGTCCACCTTCTCCTGCAAGTCCTTCGTGATTCGCCTTCATTATCTCAACCTTTTCATCATCATTCAATAGTACTCTACGTGGTGGTTTTCCAGCACCTGACCTCCTAAATAATTGTCCATTTATTAGGCAGAACTTGTGAATTTTACTTTGAAGTCGGGGAAGGTCTTCTTTTAACACACCAAGTGGCCAGCGCATATTTTCCAAATAGTATTTGACTAATCCCAAATCCTTTATACTTCGATCAGTTTCATTATCAACTCGCAACAACAAGGAATCCACATATATTTCATCTAGCGGTCTGTTCCCAGGTGCCACAGGTTCAGGATATTGAGACAATCCGTCAGCATGGCCATGCTTCTTGCCGGGCTTATAGTGTACCTTAAAATCGAAGGTTTGTAGAGCTATTACCCAACGCATCAAATGTCCTTTCAACAAAGCCTTATTAAAAAGCCATTCCAGGGCTTGATGATCAACCCATACGTCAAACGTCGTTCCAGCCATGTATCTCTCACACATGTTGCAGCCAAAAACTACATCCAAGCACTCTCTTTCGGTTACAGTATAATTCAACTCATGGGAGTTCAATTTTCAAGACTCAAATGTTACAGAGCACAACTTGTTCTGATCATCTACTTGCTCTAAGACAACACCTAATGCCGTATCACAGGCATCGGTACTCATTTGATAGGGTTTACTTCCATTCTTGGTGTCCTGCCAGTTTGGTCCTTTTAGCATTATGTCATGAATCATTTTGTGCTTAAGCAGTTGGAATGCTTCGACTTCTTCACCTGTCCACTTAAATTTAACATCCTTTTTTGTTAACTCAGTCAGCAGCTTTGCAATTGCACTAAAATTCTTCACAAATCGGTGATAATAATTCATAGTACCCAGAAATACACAAACATTTCGGACATTTTCAGAGGCTTTCCATTCATTAATTTTCTTTATACAAGTTGGATCAGGCTTTATGCTTTCTTTTCTAACAATAAAGCCATACATATTTAGCTTTTTATAAAGTAGGTGGCATTTTTTTGCAGCGAAGGTAAGACTGGCATTACTAAATGTCTGCGCGAGTTTGACAAATTTGTCAACATGCTCTTAAATCGTCCCCTGGGTCCAAAGTCCTATATCGTCCTGATATGCCGCAGCAATATATCACCATTCATCTCCTTCAAGCAGTTTATTCATTAAACATTGGAATGTTTCACTAGCGTTTTTAAGACCCATGCACATGACAGTATAACGTAGTACGCCTAGAGGGGTAGCAATGTCTATTATGTCCTTATCCTCATCACAAATTTGTATCTGCCAATAGCCCTTGTAATCATCCACACTAGAGTACCAGTCATGGCCTACGGCCTTTTCCAAGATGTCACGTATTATTGGCAGGGGATACCCATTCTTAATTATATGTTTATTAAGTGGCCGCATATCACCAACCACTCATAGCTTGTCAGTACTACTTTTCTTTTTCTTGACAGGAAAACAGTGATAGGCGTATTGGCCTATACCCTTTTCTAAAAGTCCATATCTTATCATATCCTTCAGTTGATATTTGAACATATAAGCGTGTTCTGGATTGTTTATCTGTATTGGACGTACACACATTGGTGGGACCTCTTTTCTACCAGTTCTAACTTCATACTGAATCAGGTTGGTCTTTCCTATTTCCGACATATTAAACACGAATACATTTGGGGTTTTGTTCATCAATTCTTCCTCAATCCATTTTCTTGTTTCCATCGAAATGGTGTCTCCAATGTTCAGTTCATTGCAATTTCTTTCGTTAAATGCATCACAACTCCAGGTTTCATGTCCAATCCTCTTATTGTACCGTCAGCTTGTTCATTCTCACGTGACCAATAAATTATTTGTCCAAAATGGCTATTCTTAATTAGATCACATGAATTCATGGCTTCAATCTCTTTTATGATGAGTTTGCTTGAATTACTTGCTTGCTTTACAATATCCTTCAACCTTTCATTTTGTCACCTATCCTCGTTACCAGCTTCATGTTCTTGGATTTCAATCTTTCGCACAGCCATTATATCATCCACATCTTCTTTATTGTCATCATCGTCATATCCTGATAAGTTGATCCAATCTTTGGGCACCACCGATGCAATGAACGAAGCTTTTTTATAGTCAGACCCAATTGTGCACCACAGTTTATTGTTTTTCCATTTTAGGTTACACCTAGCTGTGGCTAACCAAGGCATTCCCAGAAGTACTTCAAAGCTTGCGGCTTTCATTATATAGAATCCCTGAATAACCTCAATTCCTTCAATTACTACTTTCACATTTGGAATATATCCAACAAATTCGCTTAAGCAATCATCGGCTATTCGGCCTTTGCTCGTCACAGGTTTCCAGGATAGCCCTTTCTGTCTGGCAAAAGACTTGTGCATGAGGTTCAACCTTGAACCAGGATCAATTGGAGCTTCGGTTATTTCACCATTTATTCTGACCATACTGACAGGAACATTTCCTAGTTTTAGATTTATACCGGCTTGTGCTCCCTTTACAATTCTGATCTCAGCGTTTACTAGCAATATGTCACTTTCTTTCTTTCTCCTAGTTAATGCCTTAAGCACCTCAGATCTAGCTTTGGGAGACCATTTGAATAGTTGGCCTAAGGTTATTGGAAGCTCGAGCGATGCTATAGTTTTCAAAATGTTCAATTCGGCCATTAGCTCAGAGATCGGGATATACATTATCGATCCCTTTTTGTGCTGGTCAATTTCTTTGGGTATTTCATTATAGGTGCTCTTTTGAGCCCATGAAGGCATCTCGTGTTCATCCTCCACACGCCTCCTTTTACCTAGGTTCCTTACATCAAATAATGATTCCCCTTCTTCCAACTTAATCCTTAGATAGTTATCACCTTCATCCTTTATCGATTCTGTAACCTCAAGGTAACATATATTCATACCTCTAACCTCGAGACCATCTGGTTGGTTATTTCTCGTCACATTCCTTTAATTATCAGGTAGGGTTTGTTGTGCCCTGGTAGGACAATCTCTTGAAAGATGACCTTCCTGATCACATTGGTAACATCTACGAGATCGGATAGTTTGATTTTGGTTACCGGGCTGCTGATTTTGAGTTCTCTGATTATGGTATAAGGAAGGTTCCCTATTTTCTTTAAGATCCAAGATGGCCTTTATTAATTCCTTGATGCTTGATTCCATTTTACCTATTCGGTCGTCTTGATCTTGATTTT